GAACTAACACATTTCTGAAGATAAAAAACCTTTATATACTAATTTAAGAAATATGCCTTGTTCTCGCGATCCGCTGTAATCAGACAAACTATTCACGAAACAATACCATTTTGTCTTGAGTCAGCATAAGAATGCTCGGTAGACATACCGGTACCCAATTTCGCCAGGTTATTTGAAGAGCAGACCAAAGTTCTGCAGGCATTTAGCTGGGAAAATGCCGGGAATGCTCCCTTCCTTAACATATGCTTCGATATTTGGAGAGCAAGGGCCATGTCGAAAACGGAGGACTCCAAACACCTTGATGTCGAGTTTGTCGCCTCCAATGGGTGCCGAGTAGATTTAAACACCTGGAGGCGATGACGTTTCTAGAGTTGTTCAGAATCTCTTGAAGGAATAAGATACACCTGACTCTACATCTTCTTACATTCCCAGCAGAAAGAATTTGGCATTTTTATTTTTTCGCTATTTTCGGGTGTTTTATACAGTTCAACCCTGAGAAGAAGCAGTTTCGATCACCAAAATCGTAGTTTTATTTGTCCGAGCTTAGACAAATAAAACTACGATTCCGGTGATCGAAACTACTTCTTCTCTATCTATGCACATACCTTGGATGCGAACCTTTGCCTCAATTCCTGTTCAACTCTGTTATATCCTCCCGGGGGTGTTTCTATGTCACTCTTGATTTAGTTTTTCTTACGCATCACAGACATTTATCTTTTAGTAGGCCTGAACGAGAAGGGATTGGAGTTTTCTATCAGAGATTTTCTTCGCCTTTCTTTGGGGATATTTCGGCAAAAGCAGTTACTTCGTCCCTGCATTTATGCAGTTTTAAAGGACACATGCTCGGAAGTTTTCGCCAAATTTTCCCCAATTAGCTTAATTAATTAAGAACTGCAATGACACACGTAAATGGGGATGAAAAGTGTTCACGATCATGAATTATTTAACTCGCGAGGAACGAGCGACAAAGTAATGTTGTAGATGTTACGGCCGGGAATGAACAAAAATTTGCATAAATAAGAGACAGACCTGGGAAACAGCCGGTAAAGCAGAAGTGATAGAGCATACTTCACGCGATTGTCTGGGCCTTCTACTCCCTTTTTGCCTACTTTAAAGAAATTCGCATGGATCTGCACTCTTAAATTCTGATAGGACTTGCCAGAAGAAGCAAAACTCTTGTGATTATGGCAAGGCAGCGCCTAGACTGATAAATAGCAGTTGTTGAAAAAAATTAATGCCGATCATACTAGCCTTTAGACATTAGACAATGTTTGTAAATTGAACGCGGAAAACATGGCATTGAAAATGAATAGATAGTCGGGTAGTACACGTGAAGAGCACGACCGAAATCCAAGATGGATGAAAACGGGCAGGACTGATTATATTTCGAAAGCATTCTCTAAGTCTTATGAGGCATTAGACATGTCCTGGAGGCAAGCCTCTTTCGGAATCAGGAAGAAACCCGATTATTGCTGAGCAGGAAACCGATACTCCGGAAGTCTTGCCCAGTGGTTTTTATTTGGATAAGGGGAGACGGGGAAATTACTCAAACCTCAGGAGAACTTAGGTGAGCAAGAGCCATTTCTGTAAATTAATAATATCCAGATGTCATTTTCCCAGGGACAGCTTAAAACGCTAACAGCTAAGGCCGGATACATATCAATTCCTCTAGATTAGCATCAGTTGCTTTTTGCATTAAATCCAACGCAACGGAGTTCCTAAGTTCAAATTTGAATTTTTTATACTAATGCTCATAAGTCACTTTATTAAGGGAAGAAGGCTTTCGCCCTTGAGCTCCCTATTC